TGTGAAGCCCACAAATTCTATCTGATATCATTTGTTTTACATTTTGTTGACAGCTTCTTGCTTTGATATTGTTGTCATATATTTGATTGTCTGATCTTTTCTTGCTACCCTTCCACCTAGTCCTTACCTGGCAACTGTGATTTAACCATTTTTTGTTCAAATTTTTTATGTGGTTCGCTGAGTTCTCTTATTGTGTTAGTTACGTGGCGCGCAGGAAATTTTGTGTAAACATGCTCGCTTTAAGTACCGGTACAAGCAAAACAACCTAAAATTAAACTGAGAACACAGAGAATAAAAATAAAATAATAATAAAAAAGAAATCTTGCAACATCCATGGTCACATACATGTACAGTCCCCCCGGCAAGAATAGACGGGTTGTCACACTCTATCACGCATTCTCTTCCATTGGTGCGGCGCGGCGGGAACCAGCACATTTTACCACAGCGACAACGAAACCTGAAGAGAACTGTTTTCCTAACTTCAAAATAGAAATTTTAGGGTCTCACCAAAAACTTTGGGTCAGTCGGGAAATTGGAAGCATTGTTTTGGCCTTTGCAAGTTGGAATCTCTGATCGTTATTTAGGTACTCAAATGTCAGTGTTTTTACCTGTTGCATCTAGGCCTATGCCTCTGTTTCTAAGAACAGGATGAATGACAATTGATGGGGCGAAGTGGTAATGGGGCAAAGTGATAATGGGGCGAAGTGGGGATGGGATGAAGTGGCATGGGGTGAAGTGAAATGGAGCGAAGTGGAAATGGGGCAAAGTGACCGACACCCCTTGATGTCACATGCGACTAGTACTAGGCCTAATAGTAGCCCCACTAGTATGGCACAGACTCTCACTCATGCTCCATCCTTAGCCACACATCCATATACGCAATTTGCATATCAGCATTGTGAAAAAGTTCGACGCACCCTCTTATAATCATAGACGCAATTTTTTTTGCACACAGAGATGATCCTTAGCCTCTCCACTTTCTTAGCGCTATTTATTGAATGATTTCACTCATGTTGTTCTGGTATTTTCCAGTCTTTTTGCCTTCACCCATTCAGTCTCACGGGCTTGCTCTCACAGTTGCCATCTTTAAAATACATGTAGGGTTATTGAACATTACGTCACTTGACCCCCTCATCGTCTCGACGGCTGTTCCATGTCAAGACAGATCTAAACTGCTGCCCAAGTGTTGGAAGAGCCCATTGGTACATGTAGAATCTTATTGCTCAGTCAGTGTATTAGATGTCTTGACATGGAACAGCCGTTGAGAAGATAAGGGGTGAAGTGACGTAATGTTCAACGACCTTATTTTAAAGATGGCGACTGTGAGAGCGAGTCGGTGAGATTGAATGGGTGAAGGCAAAAGACTGGAAAATACCAGAACAACATGAGTGAAATTTTTCAATAAATGGCGCTAAGAAAGTGGAGAAGCTAAGGATCATGTCGGCATGCAAAAGAAATTGCGCCCACAATGTTAAGTGGTGCATCAAAAGTTTTCAGTTCGCCAACACGAAATTGCATATGCGAATGTGTGGCTAAGGATGGAGCGGGAGAGAGAGTCCATGCCACACTAGTGGGAAATGGAGTAAGGCCCCCAGCCTTGTGACTTTGAGTTTTCAAATTACTTTCCGACAAGACATAGCTAGAAAGGGGTTCCAAACATGCCAAAATTGGCAATCCGCCATTTTCCTTCCTCTGTGGTGGTTAGGCATGTTAGGCTGGCCTTACCATACTGTGATCACTGCCATAAAAGTGCCAGCGTGGCTAAACGGTTATCTCAGTCAGCCCGTGCGTGGCTCTGCTCTGATGTGACGCAGCCTGAGGAGCCTAGGCTGCATGTGTCGCGACGAACTGTTCGCAGACCGGACCCAAAATGTCAAACGTGGGCTAGTTACATTGTAGCACAGTAGGGCCTAGGCCTTCATCTCAGTAGGCCTACTTCAGTCTTCAATAGGCATTACAATGTCGTGAATGTACTTCGTAGAAATTCCTTCTGAACGGACGCAAATAACTCAGTCCTCTCTCGTTCTGCAACAATGCAACTAAGATCTCAGCAAAATCTAATGCTGAAGTGTATCTACTTAATTTGATTGCACCGCACACAAAACATTCAACCCATCCCACAACGTATTCTTCATTCCTCCATGCGTCAGAATAATGCACTAGGCTATAGGCCTCTCACAGTTGGCGCTGCTTTACGATCTGTGGTTGTAACCACGGGAACAAGGTTGGTTGGGCCCCTTGACCCCGTGCTCGCGACCTTTGCCCGTGGTTCCTTGACGACAGCGTCCTCTTGCGACATTTTTTAGTTGAATCAACGCTTGCGTTCATAGTCTAGTCACAGAGCTTGGGGATCGGAGCGTTAAAGGAAATTCCTGGCACTTAAACCGCACGAAGTGCTCTGTTTGTGCACCGTGAAGTCCGTGGCTAGGTCCAGATCTCAAGGAGTGATCAGATCTCGAGGACTGAGAAAAGTAGCACCACTGAAAATTCAGCAAAGTGCACTCGAGACAGGTGCATAACAATGTCAGCTACTGCAAAGTCTAAGCCTAAGGTAGGTCTGGCATGTCTGGGAGTACGAGTAGACCTAATCATGCTAATTGCAGTCTGCAGAATAGACTTATCCGATTAGACGCCATAAATGCGGTGGCACCGCACTCACACGCACATTCTTCAACTTGATGGCGTGTGCACTTGGCAAATCACGACACCATGAGTATTGGTTGAAGAGGCATGTGTTACCGAGTGGTTAAATTTTACCAGAGAGAGGGGTGGTGGATAACCCAAAATATTAAGGAAACAGTGATGCAGAGTAAAGAAATTTCAAACGAACCACCAATTTACGAAAATAGACTGCTGATTTAATTAAAATTGAAAATTAGAACAATTACATCTACATTCAGCTATTATGCCTAATTGAAATTAATCCAAGTTGCTTTAACCCCCTAAATGTTGGTGCAGTCAAAGGACGGTCAAATCCAATTTGGCCCAACCTGGCATATATTGTTGCTGGCTGGCCACCACGCACAAACTGCCCAACCCTGACCACCTGACTGGCCAAAATTTATCAAACAGCAGGCCAGCGGGAAGGCACCACAAAAATCATACAAATGGGTAGTTAAAAACTGAAGGTTTAGACCAGACACTTGACAGGCAAAAATGACTGCTCAAAATATTGTACCAGATGACATTTGCATAGGAGGGTTAAGCTAAAAGACCCTTAAGAAACCCCAAAACACCCACACGAATAAACGACAGTCAATATAATGATGGTACCATTCAAGATGTTATGGAAGGGCTACATGTACATGTACTTCAAATATCAAATAGGTGGTGTAGGATGACCTACCTGTACACATGTACATGTACGATAGTGCTACACTGTAGGTCCACAGGAGGACTACATGTACGTGTAAGTTGGTCACATGTGTCCACTGCCACCATGCTATAGGCCCTACTGCAGAGTTCCAAACTCAAATTTTACAACATTGGGACTACACCCAAACTAGGCTACATGTAGCTCACAACATAAGTTAGGAGCACTATCAATATGTGAACTTCACACAGAGATGTCTGTCCCACACTAATGCAATGCAGCGTGCAGTAAAGACACTAACGTGACATGGCAAAGTGCACCTCGCAAGACGAAAGGCAGAAAAGCAAAGCTACACAGCAAGACGCACTTTATATACATGTATATATAGAGAAATGAGCCAAATAACTTGCCCCACCCAGACAGTGGAACTCTAAATATGCAATAGTTACATGTACATAACTCTTGCAAACACAACACCGCAACTTACAATTTGTACAAAGCAGTGCTGCATTCCTACAGTGCCAGACATTGTGATACAGAGGGCGCACTTCAACTAATTATAAAGGCGCACTTTAAAAAAGTGACATTAAGCCCGGGAAGGTTGACAATACTTTGTTTACTGGTCACACATGTAATGCGCGCGTACCACCTGTCCACAAGCATTGTGCCACCACAGTAATGGCTTTTAATTCTGGTGGTCGAAATACACTATACCCAGAACAGAGCCTGAAAGTTGCCCCTGATGGCGTGCTTTCCAGAACCCTTGGATAGGAAAAATAACATGTAAAGATTTGAGAATTTATAACATTTTTTCAATCAGTTTCTTCTTAAAAATCCAACTTGGAAAAAGGGCTTTGGAAAATATTTGCTAGTATATCAATTTATAGAAACTAAAAAATTTCCTGAACTAAAAGAGAAATATCCTGCTAAAAATTGACCCATCACTTCCGAAAATCTAAAATACATGTACACGAAGAACAGTGCAATAGCAGTCTCATACGCAGATGACCATTAACGGTTCGAAATTTTATGGTAGTTTGTGGGTAAAAGCCGAAATAAACACAAATCAAAATATTTTACCCACTTTGCTAGTTTATAAGGTAATTAAACATTAAGCAATATTCTACTTTTACGAAAGATTATAATATTTTATCTGACCTTTGCTGAGAACAACTGCGTGATGTCAACTCAACGGAAATGAGTGAAAACAAACATGCACAAACAAGGGGACCTAGGTACCGTAGTACAATAAGTGATAATAGGATAGGATAATAAAATCCGTTTTTTTACTCATCTCCAGGCGACTTTTCCAAAATATTACTTTAGGAAGACAAAGGTAAAATTCCAACATGAGTGTTTCATGGGGAGGTTTCAGTAAGGAATTATTTTTCCAAAAATTATCGAACGTGATAAGACAGCCCAATGTAAAATCCCCATAGGCAGACCGTGCAAGGGTTCTTGAAGCTCGCTGCATGAGCTTTTACTTTCAGGCTCTATACCCTGCCACTCAAAAAAAGACCCCTGGGTTACGTGGGTACAGGGTTAAAATCCCTTGAGAAGAGTGTGACACTTTGACCTACATAGGTCTGACCATGGAGGTAGGCCTTGGCCTTCTTACAAAGTTAGGCCTACTCCCAGAACTGTCATGACTGTGGGGGAGGACTAGCCCAGGTTGTCTATAAAGGCCTAGGCCTAAATGAAGACAAGTCCAACCTGGGCTAGGGTTAGACGTCATCTACATTGCATTGCAACTAACGTCCAGGGACGTCAGTACACGTTATGAACACAATATCCAACCTTGGCTAGGGGTAGGCTGGGTTAGGTACATATATACATGTGCAGTAGTTACTACATGTATATCCACCAGAGACCAGTTTTTGAGGGAATAAGGCTTTTTCTTAAGTTAAAAAAAAAAATGCAAGATATCAACTAATGTCCTTATCGCCTTCCTTATGTTACATGCAATTTGAAAACAAAGATCCAAACTTGATGACCTTCACAGCTTTAGCCCAACAGAGTGATCTGAGTGACTGTATCCTATTTTCGAGGGTTGTACAGAGGTATGGTGCCCAAGTGAAGCCATGCATGAAATAAATGTTTGTTGCTGTGTGGCACATCTTGCACATGTTCATTTTATCTTTTATTGTCGGAAGCTGGTTTTATTTTATATCTGAAAGCATGTAAAAGTGGTTGTTTTCAATCAACGATTTCAGCCCTTTTTGTGCATCAAATTCTATATTTTAAAAAGCAGTTATGTTGTAAAAAAAACAAAATTTGTGTTAGTACCATTTATTATGTCTTTGTCAAGTTTTGGGTGTAAAGTATGATACAACTAATGCAAGATCGGAGCCACTCACACTACGCGATACGTCAACTGTGTGCGGCCATCTTTGTTTGTTGTCATGTGACATGGTCTCATCTAAGCTTAATATCTCGCAAGACTTGAATGATGATGTCATCATCCTGTAGAGCAAAAATAAAAACTCTTTTATTTGATGTATGACTCAAGGCATTTGACTGAAGTATCATCAAGCCTTGTTTGGTTTGTCAAGACTATAAACGGGTAACAAAAAATGTGCATTTTTCTGTTGAAAATCCCCCCAAAACGTGGAAGGAGTTGATGATATATATATTCTAGCCTCAGCGAGTATCAGGAACTCCCTATCCAGTTAGACAATCAACACATGAGACATCAGTTTCGGGTCTTGAATTCTTTTATTTGATGATAATCTCCCATGTGGTAAACTGTAAATTAACAGGATAAAAAACCATTTGCATATAATTAATATCCGCTGAACCAATGTGGCACAAAGGTCAAATGTGACACTGATAAGCAATGCAGGAAACAAATTGGCTTATGTAATATAACATACGAAGGATCCAGCAAAAGACCATCAAATACCAGTGAGTAAAGCAGTGACAGGAATGGACCAGGAATGAATTAATTGAAAAAATAGAAAAATAAAAAAAAAATTGAAAAAATAGGAACATGAGTTAGTATACACACAACCAGTAAACCAGTATCTGTAGTGGAGGAGAATACAAAATATTTTAACTTAACTTATCTATAGAAAATAAGCTAACAAGGTCTCAAAAAGTGTTTACAGTATGCGGGCCAAATCAACTGAAATACATGTACATGTGTAACACCATTGGACGGTAAAAACTTATAGAACCGTAGCCTCCAAGAGTGCAGAGCTAAGCTGCCAACAAATCCTCCAATTTTAATACGATTTTACATACACCCCAGGGGGTTAGGGTTAAGTGAAGATCAAAATGTGGTGTTACCTGGGAGGCAAACGATCAACAGACTCCTTAAGCAAACAACAAGATGGCAGCCCCTAAGACATGATAGAGATACATACAAAAAACGACAAAGATATTAATATAAGGGTCTTTCCAAAAACAATAAGATTTGAATCAAGAACAGAACTCACAGGTGATTTATATTAGAAGAATCAAGATTTGGAATGAATGCTGTCAAGCAGAAAAAAACAGAACATTTTTGAGAGAAATTTGTTTTGTTCGTAGGATCCTCATGCTAAAATCCAGCACTTCTGGAGGGTGTTGTAGCGATTTAATAGTCACAACTTGAGAGTGCACTCTACGGTCAGCACATTTACACATCACTAAAAATTTCATACACTGTATATGTACATGCATCCCATGTTTATTATTGATAAAGTTCTCCATAATAAAAGATATAGTTTACTTTACACTTCCTCTGTGACTTAATTACCGTTCCGTATATTGGTGGCCCTAGCATTGCCCAAATCGACTTTACCCACAATCAGTGTTCAAAAACGTAGTTGGCACAAATTCAGTTTGAGTGTTCCGAAAAGTGGTGCACTTGCATAAATCTCAGAAAAATAACTTCATATTTAGATTCTTGGGTATATTTGTTATCATATAGAAAGTGAAACAATGTTTCTCTTTCGTTCTCATAGTAATCCTCAGCTGAATTTGAGAACCCCACAGTCTTTCCGATCGATAACAGCACATAGTCAAACCTGTGTACAATCCCTATCGAGAAGAACTACACCTTTAATCTCATGTCTCGTGACTATTGATGATGTCATTATGACAACTACAGTATGTTCTGGGACCACTCTTTAGGTGGTGGAGTATGAGTGTGCACAAACATGAAATCAGTCAGATTGACCAAAGTATCAAAGTCTGGTTGTTGAAAAACATGTACCAAACCTATGGGGAAAATAAAATATTGAATAATCAATGAAAAAATCACATGACGACGTCACCCAGATGTCATTAATTAAGCCACACTCTTGTACCACAGTCTCCGTTGGCAGTAACTTTGATGATGATTGAGGATTGCCAAGTTACCAAAATGGTGCCTAGAAAATGTGTACAAAGTCAATGGGCTAAAACCCCATGCAGATAAACTGCACCTTTAACTGAGCGTCCATGATTCTTGGTTATATTTGTAATCGAACGAAAAGAAATTTAGTCTTTCTCTTTTGTTCTGGTAGTAATTCTCAGTTGAAGTTGAGGAATTAAGCTTGATAAAACAGTAGACTCTCGGTAATACAAGCTTGGGTATTAGACAAGACTCCGGTTTAGATGAGCATATTTGCCAGTCACGACTGAATTTTGCACATTCCTGTGAGGGAGAAAATGTGCAATACAAGCTCAAATGTTACAAGATTTCGGTTAAGACATGCAGTTTTGTGCATTGGCAGAGTGGAAATCTATTGTTATCTGTCTATTCAGCGCAAGCTTTGTTGAAGGCAACTTGTCAATCAGTCAGTCCATTCAATTTTGAAAGGCTCTTCTGTAATTCGTGTGTGTGCACCAAATTGAGCTGTTTGTGTCCAGTGCTGCAAGAGAGACAAACAATGGGTATTTTCGGTCCCTGTACCCAACATACATGTAGAAATTCTGGGTGTGGGTCTCGTACTACCTGAATGCAAGCGAGTGCCACCAAAAGTGCTACAGTATTTAGGCCACTGAGTGGTGACAAAAGAAATCTTTTGTTTGATTCCCCACCCCCCCCCAAAAAAAATTCCCCAAGACCAAAGTCCCCCAGGAAACTAATAAAAATTGTGTTCCGTAACCAAACACCCAGCCCCAAAACCTGCCCACCCGTCAAAAATTGTTACCCGCTCCCCACCGTAACACGAATATATCACCCCTCCCGATTTTGACATTCCTATTTTAAAATTCCCAGTTTAAGAAAATCATGAGTAAACCGTGGTTTTCAGTCCAAAAATGTTTAAGAAAATAACAACCATAAGTTTTGAATTAAAGTGTATCCCTCGCTAATCATTTTTCACCAAATCCCACACGCCTTTCCAAAGTAAAATCTGAAATTCGCCCTCTGCTGTTCACACCAGCAATAATTGGTTTCGTCCCATTTTTGCATGCACCATGTGCAGCTTGGTGTTGGTTACCAGCTAAAATGTTAATGTACTTACGTTGCGTCTGTACATGTGGGACGGCAACTTTCGCGCAAGACAAGCTAATTTAGTGCCAGGGCCCTTGTATTAACAAGAGTTAAATGTAGTGTGTAGTAGACAAACATGTACATGTACAACCCTATACCAGAATATTAAATAATCAAAATTAAAAAAAAAATCACATGACATCATCATGACATCATCCATCTGGAATAATTCTTGTATTTAGGTTTTTGTTGGCTGTCACTTTGATAATGATCAAACATCGCAAAGTTACCAAAATGGTGGCTTAAAAACGTATAAAGTCAAAGAGCTAAAAATCCCTGTGCAGAGATACTGCTCCTTTAAACTCATGTCTTGTGATTTGCGTTTAAATTGAAAAAGTTTTATGAAATATTACTTGATATTTTGAGTCTTGGGTATATTTGCATTCAAAAGGGTGAATTTAGTATTTCTCTTTTGTTCTGGTCGTAATTCTTGGTCGAAGTTGAGGATTGCGCACTCATTAAGCTCGATAATAGTGTGTAGTACAAAAACGTGTACAATCCCTATGGACAAAAACTGTACCTTTAATCTCATGTCACGTGACCACTGGTGATGTCGTTATGACAATTGTGTTCTGGGACCCTCTTTATGTGGTGGAGACTGAGTCTACACAAACATGAAATCAGTTAGATTGACTAGAGTCCCGAAGTTCGGCTGTTGAAAACTATGTACAAAACTAATGGGGAAAAATTAAATATTCAAAAATCAATAGAAAACTACAGGTTCTGTGTCTGTCACAGGGATAGGACACGGGACTTTTTTGCCTTTTTGTTGTTCTGAAGAAAAGTGCCTTGTTGGCATATCGTCAGTTTCTATAAAATATTCATATTCATACACTGACATATTTTTAGGTTTAACAAAAAGACATGCGCTTCAGGAGATATACTGTTCATAAGTGCTTTGAAAACTGCACGTTTTATGTCATGTGATTCGTCATGCGATGACATCATCATCACATCAGGTCAATTTTTCTCTAAAGCACTCTCCTTGGATATCTGGAAGGTTTGAACCCAATCAAACATGTACTTCACAAGATATAGTTCTCTGAAGAGTGCACCTTTAATGTCATGTGACATGATCATCTGTTGATGTCATCATTACATGACATCAATTTTCATTTATAACACTTCACTGTCTAAATACATGTACCTGCCGAGTTTCAATCCAATCAGACATGTACTTCAGGAGATACAGTGTATAGCACTTTAAAGGACGCACCTTTAATGTCACGTGACTTGTCTGCTGATGACATTTCATCACATTAGGTTAATCTCCGTTTATAAACCTTCCTTTCCTGCACATGTAAAGATTTCAATCCAACTGGTACAATACTGAATGCAATAAAAGATATTATTTTGTTATCGTAGCAAGAGCACCGATTAGAGATTGCAAACATTTTTCCCCTTAGGCATTCCATACAGTGGGATCTGCTCTCCACACCATGTGCTTGGCAATTGTCCAATTCCTGAGTATATAGTCAATGCACTGTCCACTGCCTGCGTTATCTATAGGCAGATATTGGGCGTCTATGCTACAGTAGCCAATGCACAATTTGTGAGTGGGAAGTTTGAGTTCGCAAATATTGTAAAGGGGGTTTTCGTTATCGGCACTTCAGCTGTGTGAAGAATTATCGGTACACCACTCATGCATGTCATGCAATTGACTTCAATGTTTTAGCTATCATCTAAAGAACAATTCACGCATAAATCTGTTACGGTTGATTTTTTGCTGAAGCATGTGTGTATTTTGAATGATTAAAAATGATCACCTTAAATAACTGATTGTAGTTTTACACCTGATGATGTCATCTTTGAGGACCATCTCTTCCCTTCTAGGTCTTTCTTTATTGTAACTGTGAGTAGGATCCAAGCTTGCTAATTTGACTAAACAATCTCTTGAAAGTATACAATGTCAATGAGAAAAATAAAATATTTCAAATTTCAAATAATGATTCAAAAGATTACATCATGACGTCAGTGAAACAGAGTAAACATTGCTCTTAGGTCTTCCTATGGTGTAACTTTGGTGAAAATACATCTCTGCAGAGTGACCAAATAACCCTTGAAAAGTGCGTACAAAATGAATCAGACGATGTCATCATGACATAATGCTTCACGGCACATGTATCTTTGGCACAGAGTTTTTCTATTTCCTACAGGATATCTGCAAAGTTTCAATCCATAGGAACATGTACATCAGGTGATAGGGCTTCAGAGAGTGCACGTTTAATGGCATCATGTTATTTTTGTCTACATCACTTCTCTTTGTGGCTGCCTTAATGATTGCCACAATTAATAGACAATGTTGAATTCCATCAAGTGAGGGCGCACAACACTCTTGGTAATACACATACAAATTTAAATCACAAAAGCTTGCAGAAACTTTTTATTAGACTTTCAGTTCGGTTTGTACGCGAGACCAAATTTCAACATCTCTTCAATATGTTCGAAATAAAGTGACCCTGATTGGGATCGCAGATAACAACACAAGGTTTCCCTTGTCGACTAAAAAGCATAATGGGCAACAAACGATGTAATGAATAGTTATTTCAAATATGTGCACTGAATTTATTTTGTGTACCTTAAGCTCGTATAATTAATAGACTACCAGTGTTTGTAACTGTTGCTTTGTTGGAACGTACAATTTAATATCAATCAGGTAGTACTACTACGAAATGTTGAAGTTCATCATGTGAGGGAGCAGTTCAGTTTTCTCATAAGGGTTTGATAGCGCGAATGATGATCTTCTTCTGTTGTGTTTACATTTGATCAACCCTGACGGTCTAGGGTGTATGTAAAATCTTAAAATCAGAGGAATGGGAATTGTTAGGGATATTGGTATACACAAACTTAGAAATGTCAATTTTAAAGATGGGAAGAAACTAACACATACATCAATTTCACACAATTCCTTCAAAAGTACAACTTCTTGTTGCCTATTTGAAAAATCTGCAAGTGCACATCAGAACTCTGAATGTGGAATTTAAGTGTATGTTGAAAAATATACTCAAAGTATTGAACATGAAACCTGGTCTAGAGGTTAAAGGATTATCAGAGTTGAATGCTCAAGTGTCCTTCTCTTCATTTATGACACATTAAGGGAAAAACTGCTTTTGTATGTGCTTTAGGAGATTTTACTATTGTGTATTACATGTATATAAAATCGGTGAGGTGTTTTTTGGCCCAGATTTCCAGACATACTTAAGAAGACAAGGGAACACAAAATATGAGGCTCTTGTGAATGTGGAAAACATCACATAATTCGGAAACTTGTAATCACAATTTCTGCGGTAATTTTGAAAAAAGTGTTGGGCCTTGTACACATATAGTACTTCTCATGTCCTATTGTATGCAGTTTTTCAGATCATCTTGGTATTTTGATGAAGTCCTTCTGCAGAACAATCTTGCATTTCCACTGACAACACCTGGGACACCACAGACTTCCTCCCTGTATGTGTTGTTAAACATTCTTCCGTGTCATCTAAAAATGGAAAATATATTCATTATGCATCAGTTTATGTATTGATGCCTGGAAAAAAGGTGTCAGAAGTTTTAGCGCTTTTGATATCACTTAGCTACATAGGATTAGGAATGTTATAGTTGGGGACCAGACATACGCATGTTGATCATTAAGCGATTTGCATTATTACATGTATGGGTCCCCCTCTACTCTTTGCTCATGACTGCCTTTATCAGAACTGGCCATTTCTTGTGTGTCAATACCAACAGCAGGCCTTGTACATGTAAGTACCAATTACCTTGTTATTTTCTTTGCAATTGGTTGTCCAACATTTTCCTTCATATTGGGTAGCCGTGCATGGATAAGTAACCGCATTATATTCCCATCCTTGAAAATAAAATCAGGAGAACATGATTTCATTTGAGTAGCAGAATGAACGATACCTTTACAAAGCAAATAATGGGGATCAACTACTGTAAAAATATCAGGATCTTGTGAGTGCTGAAATGTTTGCACTATTCTTCCAAAACCATATTGAAACATTTCTGCAATTTTCTTTCAATAAGTTGTAGTGGTTACACATACATGTACAAGTAAATCTCACTTCCTGTCGATTGCAGTTTTTTAGATAATCTTGTTACAAGCACTTTGATGTAGCAGTTCTTACCATTCTGTGGACCAGTCCTGGTTCAACTGCATTTCCCTCAGTGATACCGGGGACATCTACCGGTAACATGTGCATGTATGAAGACTGCCTTCACGTCTGTGCAGATGAACATCGGTATCATCACAAAAAAGGAACACATTTATTACAGGTGCACCAGTTTATGTGTTCATGCATGGAAAACTCATGTCAGAACTTGGACACAAGCATCGCCCGTGTTCATGTATTTCTGGGATCTCATTAAATGGGGAGTATGTGGGGACCTGAATCTTAAAGCGGGGGACCAGGCACGTGGGTGTTGATGAGGAAACCAGTCATGAAGGCGGTACATGGATGCCCCCCCCCACACACACAAGTGTGTATTTGCCTGCAACAGGGAACCCCCTGTTGTTCCTCTTGTTTGTATACTAACTTTTTTAGAAGACCACCCATATGTTTTGTACCCAGTTGTCAATTGAGGACCATCTGTCAATCGGCAACCTTATTGTCCTCTATTGTTCAGGGTCCCCAATTGAATGCAGAAACAAACTCACAAACACACCCACACACAAACTTTGCTTCATAACTGCATCGATCAGAACTGGCAATATGTCTACATGTATATGTCAATGCAACAGTAGGCCTTTATACCATTACCTGTTAATATCCTTGCCTTGTCAGGTTGTATAGCATCTTCCTTTATCGTGGGTACCCAAGCCTCTGACATGTATGTAACTGCAGTTATTTTGAATTCCAATGCTCTGAACTAACAGAGAGAACAAATTTATCTCTAGGTTTCACTTCAGCAGCAACAAGAAGGGTACCTATACATAGAAGCAAATATAAAGAAAGAAACAGCTTACATGTACATAAATATGTAAATAATCAAACACTGTGAACCAGTAGTAATATGTTTTTGTCTTTGGGGAATAACAATGAAATATGCATATTGTGTTTTGAAATACATGTATGAAGCAAACAACTGCTTTCATGTCTTGGGGCATTTTTCGTTAAGTGTATCATATAAAAACTGTCAACTTCTTTTCTGTCCTGAAGATTTCCAGACACTTCACATGACATGGGGATCAGTTGAAAATACTGGGATCTTATGAATGCTGAAAACTTTACACTATTCTTCCAAACCAGTTTGAAATTTTTTTGCAGTTGTCTGTCAATAAATTATAGCACTTACATGTACACATTCAAGTAAACCGACTTCCTGTCGATTAGATTTTTTTTACACAATCTTGTTACAAGTACTTTGATAAAGCTCTTCTCACCGTTCTGTGGCTTCGTCCTTTTGCTTCGACTGCATGCATCTTTGAAACCAGGGACATCTAACATGAATGAAGACTCCTCTCGAGTGTTGATGAACATCTGTATCATCGCAAAAGGAAAATATTTATTACAGGTGCCCCAGTTCATGTGTTGATGCATGGAAAACTGATATCAGAACTCAGACACAATAATACAGCATACATGTTTTCAATGGCCCACATGTAGCAACCTTGGGTTCTCACTCAATGGGAAGTACGTGGGGATCTGAATGTTTAAGTAGGGGATCGGGCAAGTGGATGTTGATGAGGGTTCTGTTCATGATGGCGTTACATGGATGCCCCCCCACACACACCCACATACACTCCCACACACGCACAAACTTTGCTTCATGACTACATTAATCAGAACAGGCAATCTTTCTGTATGTCAGTGTAACAGTAGGGCTTTTTGCCATTACCAGTTAATATCCTTGCTTGATTATAAAAACAGCAGCTTCCTGTATCATGGGTACCCGCGTCTCTCATATCTACAGTGTAACTGCAATGATGTTGAATTCCAGTGCTCTGAACTAGCATGGAAAACAGATTTTTCTCTAGCTCTCACTCCAGCAGCAACATGAAGGATACCTATACACACAAAGCAAATAAAGAGATTTAAATATTCCATATGATCAGCTTACGTTGACATGTAAATAACCATAGGTTTACATTAAAATTTCAAACATTTTTGGATATACCATGACCCCATAAGAACACGGTTTGTCTTCTGGGGGCCATATGTGCACGGTGAGTGTTTTAGGGGACGTTACACAGTTCAATGTCTATGTTCAGCATAATCATAAATCTTTCGCAAATTCTGGTTTGATTTGCCTTTGAATAAAATCAATCACACTAAAATCATTGAATAATGGGCTCAGGAGGGAGTATAATGAACATGCGCAAGTTCATCTCTGGATTGTGCTGAACACACAGGACGTACATGTACATAATAGTTATGGTATCAATGCTGTTCTGAGCTATGGTCTGAGTAACTTAAACTCAGCAAATCACCATTTGAATCATTTGGACATGGTCAGACGCCACTCAGGATATGTCAGTGCAAATTTAGAGCTAATTTGAGTCAGTTCAGTTTCCCCTAACATCACAGTCCAGAGCTACAGAGCACAGTAAGTGCAGACAAAAACTTGCAATTGAGAATGTTTCTTAATGCTAATTGCCTACCAGAAGCAGTTCCAGCACTTCATCCATCCAGCTTCCAAACCCAGCTGCCCGCTGCACTATACCCTCCAAGTGCTTGTTGTACATGTATATGTGTGATTGCATATGGAGTCGCTCGTTGGGTACACCCATGCTCATGATCATTGTGATCATGCCTGTTCGGTGTCAACTCCCTCCGCAATTTCTTGCTCTGGTGCATAAATTTGGTTTTACATGTAGTTTAGCTTTTTTGGGATTACTTTGGAATCCTCTAATCAAGCCAAGTCCATGAAGCACTCATATAGTGCAATTTCAGGTCCGGGAAGTCCCAAGAGAGGTCCTGAGAAAACACGTGCACGTCGAAAATATCGTCCCGATGTGTTGGGTGTGACCGCGCAAATGGTCGATACGTGCATGGACAAAATGCTTTAAACAATTGGTTGAGGCCTGACATACATGTAAACTCTCCGAGTTCATTTTCCTCGATATTTTGCACGATTTTTCACATTTTTCTAGCCAAATTATCTAGAAATCATGCAATAAGACTGTGCAACAGCGCTTACATCCACCGATCGCACAGATCAGGGCCGTTTTCCAATACTCAACGTCGTCTGCGTCTCAGGCTTCGTTCCCAAAAGCAATCCCCGATTGTGGGCCTGAAGCATTTAAATTACATTGGATTACTGTAATTTTTGGCTTTCTTGCATCATATTTGATGTTCTGTGGCACTATTAGACTGATCACTGCGCTTATAGCTTCAAAGTCAGCTAGTAAAAAAAAAAACAGTTGAAGCCAGAGCTGAATAGATGGATTTCACATTAGCGCCATTGCGCATATCCGCATCAAAACGAGGCTCTCTATGTTGAACTTCGTCGCGCACACCCCCGGAGTCGACACAGTACATGCAGTATCCAGTTTGTAAGTGTGGTGCCACTTCAGTTTAAACCATGCCCACTGCACAAGATACACGACCATCGCAGGTACATGTATGTTAGTTTGAGGTAAATTGC